CTCTCATTTTTTCTTCTTCCCTTTATTTCGTCTTCATTAAATACATCACTTTTTAAATTTTTTTAAATTTTTTTGGCAGTTTCAATAGTCTGTTGCCTTTGAAATCTCGACCCTATCGACCTTGGGGTTGTACATGACAAGCTCATAGTATGATGAAGCTTTGCTCGGCTTGCCAAGCTTCTACCAAAGGGTATACATCTCCGAGATGCCCAGCTGTCCCGAGATGATGAATTTTCATCGGGACAGCTTCAATTTCAAAATGTAAGTTTGAATTGATTTTTGATTTTTTTGAATTTTTTTTTGGTTTATTTTTTTTAAACCACCGCTCTTATGATGAGTGACCTTTTCATACAGACCTGTTCTGAACTATATTGTTGATAAAAATTGTTATATAAATGTTATCTGATAGAGCTTCTTGACTTTATTTCTCTTGTCGAGTCTATGCGAATCATTGCTAACATGATTTCAGATTTTCACTGGTTTTCATATAGAACTAGGTCTTGGACCCTGAATATAACTACTACCTTTCTAATAAACATATTCTTCTATTGTTTTTGTTCACTGCGTAGTGTATTAAGCTCTTTCCAATCCTTATGTATTTCCAGTCGCATCATCAGTCTACAATATTTGGTCACTGCGGGATTGTAACCCTGTCGTACTTACGGGATAGATCGTGCCCTAGATGGGAGTGGTGATTGACATCGGGACTACAATGTTGTATACATCGTAGTATTTCCTACTATCTCCATCAGGTCTGTAATTCACTCGACCTTTGACTCCACTTGGCTTTATTACCAATAAGCCTTGCGGGCACAGCCCGAAATGGGGCAAACAGCAGATGATGGTCTTTTGTCTGCAATCAGCACTAGCCTAGCCAATACTTCCAAGAGCACCCCCATCTAGTAATTTGCCCCAACCTCATGTCCCATTCTTTGATAGACTCTTTGATAGACCCACCTGAATGTTTCCATGCACATGCCTTGGTGTAATCTATACATATTCTTGAAAGTCGAGACCTAAAGTCATGTCTTTTGCTTGCTTTCGAGTTTCTTTGTTCCCCAAACTCAGTACTTCCAACCTTAAAGACCCAAAAAAATAGTCTCCTCAATCTTTTCCTCCATACTCCGTATACTTCCCAAAAATATAGATATGATAGAAAAGGAGAAAATTGACGCTACTCTGTCCGAGAAAGCTGTACCGCAACCGCCATACGAGACAGCTGCCGAGCGAGCACGGCGCAGTCTTAATGCCAAACTCTCCAACCCATTAGCTGGGTTCAGCCATACTGAGCTACGGAATCAGGGGCGTACGTTTGCTGAGTTTCACGAGATGGGCGATGAGTCCGATATCCGTGCTTTCGAGCTGGGTGCTGTGTTGGCACAATTTCCGGAACGATATGCAGATGTCACTGGTCTAACAAACCAGGAGAAGAGAGTATTGGGCCGGGAATTCACACATCGCTGGTCACAACCATGGAAAATGTATGCTGTCATTACATTGTGTTCTTTATCCGCTACAGTTCAGGGGATGGGTAAGTAGCAGTTGAGTCTGATAAATTCCCCAACCCCCGAAGAATACCCTTGCTGACGATAACAGACCAAACGGTTGTCAACGGAGCCCAAATATTCTACAAACACCAATTCGGCATCGGCGATGACTCCTCTCGAAGTGCTTGGCTCGTCGGTCTAGTCAACTCAGCACCATACCTCTGCTGCGCCTTAATCAGTTCCTGGCTAACAGTCCCCTTCAACCATTGGTTCGGACGCCGCGGTACAATTTTCATATCGTGCGCCTTGTCTGCGATCACATGTCTCTGGCAGGGATTTGTCGCAACCTGGTGGGCGATGTTTGTTGCACGGTTCATGCTAGGCTTCGGTATCGGCCCCAAATCAGCGACTGTACCGATATACGCGGCCGAAACAGCACCACCATCCATCCGTGGTGCATTGGTCATGCAGTGGCAGGTGTGGTCGGCTTTCGGGATTATGGTCGGCTATGCGGCGGACCTCATCTTCTACAATGTCAACTCGAGTTCTATCGTCGGCTTGAATTGGCGCTGCATGATGGCCTCAGCGATGTTCCCGGCTCTAGTCGTTTGCTGTTTTGTCTTTACTTGTCCCGAGTCGCCGCATTGGTACATGCGTCAGAAGCAGTATTACCGTGCTTACAGGTCAATCTGTACGCTGCGGAATCATAAAATCCAGGCAGCTCGTGACTTGTACTACATGCATACCCTGCTAGAAGCTGAGAATAACATGAATCTTGGTCGTAACAAGTTATTGGAACTGATTAAAGTCCCGCGAAACCGGCGAGCAATGTTGGCATCTCAGATTGTCATGTTTATGCAGCAAGTGAGTGTGGATTTTCAGCAAGATATACCAAAGCAATTGGAGAGAAAACTAACTTCAACAGTTCTGTGGTGTCAACGTTATTTCATACTATTCTTCCGAGATATTTCTCGAGGTCAGTCTAAGCTACCGATCCTACTTTTTTCTTTAACAGAACATTAACAGACATCATAGGCCAACTTTTCCCCGGCAGCTGCTCTAGCCGCCTCATTAGGCTGGGGACTCATTAACTGGCTCTTATCAATACCGGCAATCTACACAATCGACACATTCGGCCGACGAAATCTCTTGTTACTCACCTTCCCACTCATGGCCCTCACAATGTTATTCACAGGGTTCAGCTTCTGGATCCCAGAGAGCAGCCACAGTGCACGTCTTGCCTGCATTGTTTTGGGAACATATCTTTTCGGTGTGGTCTACTCACCCGGCGAGGGACCGGTGCCGTTCACATACACGGCCGAAGTATACCCGTTGTACATCCGGTCATACGGAATGGCGCTAGGCACGGCAACGATGTGGTTCTGTAATTTCATTCTGGGCGTGACGTGGCCGTCTCTGTGCGCTGAATTTACAATACAGGGGGCATTTAGCTGGCATGCAAGCTGGTGTGTGGTTGGATGGTGGATGGTGCTTTTGTTTATGCCTGAGACGAAGGGGAAGACCCTTGAGGAGTTGGATCGGGTTTTTTCTGTGCCGACGAGGTTGCATGTGCGGTATGGATTGAGGCAAATTGGGTATTTCTGTAACCGATACTTGCTACAGAGAGATGTTAGACCGGAGGTTCTTTACGAGAGGGAGGAATTGGGTAAGGCTCAAGATGTGGGATTTAATGCTTGATGAGATGGGTATGGAGTAAAATTTGATCCACATTTGAAGAGAGAGATTCAAGGGGACATATCCCTAGATCAGTTTGTCTTCTATTTTAGCATAGATCTATTCCAGCATATTGGTATTCTTAATGAACAAATACTTACCAGACCTCTATCCCAATTTAACCCCCGCTCACAGAAGGATTGGCCTGAATTGCAATGTCTCAAATCTGGATGATTTTTCTTGCAGATTGTATAAAGTGATGTAATTGGATAGTCGCAATTCACTAGGATCAATGGTATTTTTCCAACAATGCCTTTAGAGCGATGCGGAGTTCTCTTCCTATTTTTCTCGTATTGGGCGCCTTCGAATATTCTAGTCTATGGATTTTTCGTGAATCTTACGTTCGGTTATAACCCCGGAGGTTGGTCAGGGTCCGAAACTAATCAGCTCGACATGTGCATTGTGGCGCATCCAACAGCGCTAAGCGACATATAAATGGCTGCGCTTGTATGCAAACTAATAACATAGCCAATCGGGGTTGACCTCACAGTCATTGGTGCTTATTTAGCTTTCAAAGGATTATTGTCATCAACCACAGAAAATAATTGGCCACTAATCTCAACCTATGAGGGTTGTTGTGAAGAAATAAGTCTAGGCTCTTTATGAGTACCAAACCACAAATGAGTCAGACATAGATGGATCGACACCTGGGCAAGATAATAGTAAGAGGAGGAGTTCGTATCCATGGATGTAAGATCTTGTTCCATTATATCAACCATCATACACAACGGCATGAGATCTAAAATCGGACTTTGATTGCTCCCCCCCCAATTAGAATTCTTGGAATCACCGTAGAAGAGCCTGATCAGGAAAGAGTCAGGAATTATGCATACATGTAATGTTTGAGATAAGAAGATTCAGGGTTCGCATACCCTGGGCATCCACTGGGTATACTCTGGAAGGATCAAGGCAAGACAAAGTATTCCATCACACCTCTATTCGACACTCAACCTTCTAAAATCCCACAATTTCTATAATCGAGGGAATAAGTATTTCCCACTATATTTTCAATTCTTAAATGATACAGTCTCAGCCCTGGGGATGTGGGATCGGAGTCGTCCATAAGGTTCTAAAAGCCCTGGATGCCTGATCCAATCCAAAGAGGCCTCCCAATCTCGCCCCCAATGTATGGAGAGATCAGAACTCTCGGCTCAGCTCTAAAACTCAGCTCGGGGTGAGATTCTTATGAGAGTTAGATAAGCAATAAAATAGAATTGTAAGCCTCAGTCTTAATTTGGCCTCAACGGCCCGCCTTGCCAATCCGCTTCAATCAAAATTCCGGTATGCATCGCGCTAATGCTAACAATATCCGAGACAGAAACCAACAGCGGCTTCAAGATGCACCTAGTTTGAACAGGACTAGACCAGAATAGGTTACATATGTAGTTCTTTTTCTAGTACTGTGGATCAAGGTGTGAATCAGCGCAGTCGACCTGGCCTGAAACCTCGGACATTAGGTCCAGTGTCATTTTATGACAACATGGAGAATTGACCATTGGCTCGGCGCAATCATTTCACTTTCGGCAGGAGGGAATGTGATTGTCGTTGAATTCTCCCCGTGTCGGGGCCTATCATTTTCGGCATATAAAGACGTTGGTCTTGTTCAGCTTCACTTCTGCAATCTACTTCTTTCTGACACTCCTCTCTGAATACTCCCCTCTCCGAACACCTCTCTCTTAATCGCCTCTCTCTTAATCACCTCTCTCTTAGCACCTCTCTCTTAGCACCTATCTCTTAGCACCTCTCTTTTAAGCACTCCTTTCTGAGCACTTCTTCACAATGCTGCAGAGCACTTTGACTCGGCTGGTACTTGCTTCGTGCAATGAGTCGGTTACTATTCGAGATCTTGGGAGCCTGACCTCAGTGATCCTCTTGATTTCTGCTTTGGTCTATCGAGTACTGTACGTGCGCGTGGCATCCTCACCTCGAAAAGAACATTCCCCTCCCCGCCTGCAATTGCCTAGCTGGAAGGTCGCCCGGTTCTTCTTTGAGAAGAGGTTTGATTTCATCAAAGATGGTTTCCGGGCTACATCATCTTCCATCTATCAGACCAGACTGTTCCAACATGCCGCCATCGTTCTATCCGGGGACGAAGGCCGACAAGTCTTTTTCAAGGAGAAGGGTCTCTGTCTATACGACACATTTTCAATCATGATGGGCAGTGTAAGGTCCCTACTCATTGATTTTGTTCTCAGCAATAACTACCCTCTCACATTTAGGGTGCTCAATTTGATCCCCATCAAGTCAGTGGGGTGGTCAAACGAATGGCCTCGATTCAACGACCTGATAATCTCCAGAAACGTTAGTGTATACCATTCTTGATCGAAGTAGAAGATTTACTAACATACATACAGTGATTCCGTTGACTCTGTCAGAATGCCGGCGGAAGATGGATGCATGGGGTAGCGAGCGTATTCTCGACCCCTGCTCTTCCCTTCACGAGGTTCGTGGATTCGAGTTCAATCTTTGGTAGATGAGAAACTGAGACACACTTCTTTTCCTTAGGTCGCTTTTCACTTGGTCATGTGCATTGCTTCCTTTGATATCGCCAATGATCCGGCGCTTTCAGCTCGTCTCAAGTCCCTTGTCGACACTGTCGACTCGATCACGAACCCATACTCAACTTGGTTTCCTTGGCTGCCTGGCCCAGCCTTGTTCCAGAAGTTCTTTGCTTCTGTTCGAATTTACTGGATTGTTCAAGCGGCTATTCAGACCAGAAAGAGGAGCGGAATCAAGAGGGATGATATGCTGCAGCAGATGATTGACGAAGGAGATGGTACAATTCGAATCTTTGGGGTATGTACTCTTGTCACATCTTTATTCGACTATTTTGATCGGTAATCTAACTCTCTTAACAGTGTATACTAGGACTATCGCTGGCTGGAGCTCGTGCCACTGGAACAATTGGTAAGTTTGATATTCAGCAACACCGAATCTGATAGTACTAACGGTTATCCCCCTCTAGTGACATGGCTAATCATGCACCTCTCCTCGAGTCCAACTTGGTCCTCGAATGTTCAAGAGGAGATCAAGACCTTCATATCTACTCACACATTCTCGTCATCCCCTCTCTCTGGGAACGCTCTCGTCCAAGCCCTCTCAGAAATCCCACTTGCAGCCTGGGAATCCCAAACACCTAATCTCGACCTCTGTATTCGTGAAACACTACGCACCTCACAGCCATACACAGCCGTGCGAAAGAACATCGGCCCGGATCTTACCATTGGACCATACGTTATCCCCTCGGGATCCCTCGTTGTGTATCCATTTTCGGATACAGCACTCAACCCGAAGTACTACTCGGAACCAACCCGCTGGGATCCGTCTCGGGTACTTGAAAAGGAAATACCGTTTATTGGCTGGGGTGCGGGAAGGCATGCTTGCAAAGGCCAACGACTTGCTACATTGAGTATGAAGCTCATGGTTGCTTATGCTTTCACGCAGTTTGATATTACGATGGTTGATGGGCAGGGCAAAAAGATCAATCGTGTTCCCCTCCCTGAGTGGAATGATTCCGCGACTTGTCGCCCGAAGGAGGAATGTGGAATCAAATTTGCTAAGAAGTGATCTTCTACACTGCTATGGTTGAGACTCGGTCTCATTTTACCTCCTTTTTTCGGAGCCGACGTGACCATATGGATTAGTGGCCGTCTGAACAAAGCAATTAATTCTGATACTTATTTCAATAAAAATCTACATATGTACCTATGCTGAGTAGAATTATCCCGTCAAGCATTAGATACTTGGAGCGGTTAGCCACATGACTCGTGATAGCCTCTTGACCATCTCACGATGTATTTTTTTTCTTTCTCTGCAATAAACTATGATTATGGCAACAAGAACAGTCTACCCCATCTCTGCTCGCAACACATCCTTCCAAAGAGCCCACTTCTCAATATTTGTGCCATCAGCTACCAATCCCGACCGGGGAACCAAAATACATGCCGTTGGTGCACTAATGGCAGGCTATGTTCTGGAGTTCAAACGAAATTACAATCCCAGTCTCGACCCTCACGATCAGACCTTTCCAATCGGCCAAGTCCATTCGTCCGACATCGTTGATTCCCCAGATGCGGCTCCATCCATCGACTCCACCCCCCGAGGGAAGATCGAACTAGCGGCAACACAAATCCCAACTCCGGGGATCAATCACAACTTCATGGCCCCTGTCAATGATGTGAGTAATATGACACATACTTTATGGAGGTATTATAGGATCTGGATGAAGCTCACAAATTTGAATTTCCAGACCACTAACAAACGGTATCAAGAATGGACTATGGAATATGTTCGCCATCTGGTTGCCAAAGGCCTGATTGATGAAGAAGTGATTGAGATCGTTCAATCTAAACGGGATTCACCTACTCATGGAATTAGTCTACGATCTGTGACTAGATTTAACACGTAGTATAGATGACCACGAATAGAAAAACCAGATGTCCATCTCGGCTACCAACCCGCTCCCCGCATCCGCCCCGACAGCGAACCGCCATCGGATGTTGTCCTTACATACATACATAGTGTACTTCCTGTGACATCCGATGAGCTTTCCGATAAATAGGGCTCATGATTCAGTGTAACAGCAGGGAATACCTGGGCGCTTCCGAAGTGCGGGGTCTCCGCATATCATATAAAGCAGCTGAGAATCATGCACCTGGACATATGAGATTGTCTACATCCTCAACCCTTCTTACTCCCTTACTAGACAACCAAAATGCTCGGCAAAATCGCCCTCGAAGAAGCCTTTGCGCTCCCCCGATTCCACGAGAAGACAAAATGGTGGGCGGGCATGTTCGCAACCGACACAGACAAGCACACAGCAGAGATCAACGATGTCGGTCCAATTCGACTGGACTTCGCCGAGCGCCACGGCGTCGGTCTCCAGATCCTCAGCTACACAGCACCCGGTGTACAGGATATCTGGGACGCAAAGGACGCACAAGCGCTCGCGGTTGAGATCAACGACTACATCGCGGAGAAAGTGAAAGCGCACCCGGATCGGTTTGCCGCATTTGCGTAAGTTGCAGCTCCAAAATCCAGAATGGAAATTACTATGTCCTATCCCATCCAGGATAACTATGGTATACATCCAGCTAACCCACCCAGCACCCTCTCCATGCACGACCCACAAGAAGCAGCAGCCGAGCTCCGACGCTGCGTAACACAGCACGGGTTCCTAGGTGCACTAGTGAACGACACACAGCGCGCTGGTGTCGACGGCGACGACATGATCTTCTACGACAACGAGAAATGGGACGTATTCTGGGCTACCTGCACTGAGCTGGACGTGCCTTTGTACCTACACCCGCGCAACCCGACAGGCACGATCTACGAGAAGCTGTGGGCTGATCGGAAATGGCTGATCGGACCCCCACTGTCCTTCGCGCAGGGAGTGAGTCTACATGTTCTTGGAATGGTGACGAACGGGGTATTCGACCGGAACCCGAAGCTGCAGGTTATTCTTGGACATTTGGGGGAGCATATTCCATTTGATATGTGGCGGATTAACCACTGGTTTGAGGATCGGAAGAAGGCCCTTGGACTTAGGGAGACATGTAAGCGAACAATTCGGGAGTACTTTGCGGATAATTTGTGGATTACGACGTCGGGACATTTCTCGACCACTACGTTGAACTTCTGTATGGCGGAAGTTGGGGCTGATCGGATTCTGTTCTCGATTGATTATCCGTTTGAGACATTTGAGGATGCGTGTGAGTGGTTTGATTCGGCGGAGATGTCGAATACGGATCGGTTGAAGATTGGAAGGGAGAATGCGAAGAAGTTGTTTAAGCTTGGGGCTTATAAGGATAGTACGGCTTGATTTTACGGGGGAGATAGATTGAAATGGAATTTTCATATTGAATTTCGTTATGCGTTTGTTCACTCGCTTGAAACATTGCATATGGGGTATTTGAAACAGTTGAAAGAGCAAAAAACAAATCGTAGAATCGTAGAAACTGAGAACATATCCCATGCGATGTCATGGTTCAGTGGCTCGTCCATCATTCAGACCGTATCATTTCCAGACAAGTCCCGCTCAGCTGCCTTGAGTCGATCCTTCTCAAGTGCCTGGTATCGATCCCAGCAGTGCTCCCAGATCTCTGGCGAGTCACAAAGATAGCCCATCATTGGCGTAAAGTACTGCCGTTTGGTCTCAAGAGTGAGCCAGGTCAAGGTACCGTAGGTTTCGATGCAGCTGTTCATCAGTTCCCAGATGACAAAGATACGACGTGAAATATCTGTGCGTGCAGGGCTGGGATTTTGCTCGTTCAAGAGTTGACGGTTGCGCAGAAGGAGGAAAGGACTGTGGATCCATTCCTCGTACATGTCCATGTACAAAGCAAGCAACCGCCGTTCAAGATAACGAGGCTTTTTCATGGTCCTGTTTACTGCGTATTAGTACTGAAGCAAAGGGTAAACAAGAAACAAAGGGTATTGGGGTACTTACTTAGCGAACAGAGACGACATTTTGCAAAGACGCTCGTAGGCCGAGGTAGCCTCCTTTGAGATGTCCTCCAGGGCGAAGGAAACCTGCTCGGCAGTCTCCAGCTGCTCTCTAAGCATCTCTTCGATGAATTCGATGTGGTTGAGAATGGTCTCGAGGTCAAATTCTGCGTCTTCAATTTCTTTGGGAGCCAGAAACTCTGGGCTTTGGTGGAAGATGACGAGGTTGAATTGGAGAGCGGCGTTGGTGATAGTAATGAATTGCTTGCGGATATCAGGAAGCACTTCCGGGTGGGCAAGAAGGTCTCGTAGCTGTTCAAGAACAACCTGGCTGCGCTGAGATGGGTCACTTTGAACATAGGGAATTATGTTCGGGTCAACGTGAGCCATGCGGATCTCTTGCTGGGCAGCTTTGGCGAAAGCGTAGATCCATGCTTCCTCGTTGCGTTTCTCAGCAGCGATGCAAGATGCAAGCATCTCACACTCGGACTCGTTGTATTCGGGAAATGGTTCAGTCTCAGGGAGTGGTTCAGTCTCAGGGAGTGGTTCAGTCTCAGGAAACGGTTCAGTCTCTGTGTTTGCAGTATCTGCGTTGGTAGGAGTACTAGACTCGGATTCCTCGGACTCAGAGTCCATCGCGACTTGAGAGCGGACAACCGCGAGACGGGACCCTGGTGGGAGATCGTCCATTTTGCGAAGATGGGGTGAATGCTGAGTTACATGAGGGGAAGAAGAGAAAAGAAGAGGGGGAGAGACGAGGTCTTAAAAAGCGAGACAAGCTGCTGCCATAATAATGTATTGAAGTTATTGATTAAGACATAAGGCACGCGCGTGGCAATGGACAATGGACAATGAACAATGAACAATATGACAATAAGATGATACTAGGCCTGAATAGGAAATAAGACTATGCATGAATTTACCGCTGCTCAATCCAAAAGCGCTAATAGGTCAGACTCCAAGGTCAGAACGCTCCTTTAGAATTGAGTGGTGGACTGCCTTCCCCAAGAACGCTGCCTGATTAGGTGAAGTAGCGAATGACTTGAGAACAAGACGTTCTCGAGCCAATCATCTGCTTCTCAGGCAGACAATCAAGAGTTAACGAAGGCAGTTATTGTTCTTCGCACATTGACTAATCGACGTCTCATGGGGCAGAGGAGGACGGCAACTTAAGTAGTGCGAGTTCATTGGAACTATTCTTCCTTCATTCCAGCGTCTTCCGGTACTGGGACGTCCGTATCATTGTCCTCACCTGGTAGTGGGACATCCATGACTCGCTCACCAGCCTTTTCCAGCGTTCGTCTACTCCATGACCGAACACCTTTGTAGACAGCCTGCCTGCGGTTAGTCAAATCAAATATAGCCAAATGTGATTACACATACCCAAAGGAAAGTACCGATGCCAACCATGACCACTAGCCAGTTCAATTGGGCGGCCCGATTACGGCCCGAATTGCGTCCTGATGCGACAGACCGGAGGTTCCAAGGGAAAGGCGATAGCGCAAAGATTGCCTTGAGGAAGGACAACAGGCCCAACGACGCGAGTCCTTTGAGGAAGTGTTCCAACCAGGATGCATCTTCCTCGACCAATTCGGTGTAAATATCCACGGGGCCCAAGTAAAAATCAATGATGGGGTCAGCAATGAATCCAAGCAGGAATACGGTTAACAAAAGAATGCCAAGTGTGAGGATTAGCTGGGTAGTGGTACTACTGATCCACCGGGCCCAAGTCAATCGCTCCAGGCGATACTGGAAGCCACAGGTGGGACATTGCCAGAAGTTTCTCGTCCCATATTTGGGGTCGGCATGGCGCCATGACTGCAAGCAGCCCTCGTGAACATAACGCGAGGAACCTTTGCATTGACAAGGGCTTAAGAGACGACCAGATTCTGGATCGGAAGATTCATAAACCACTCGAGGCTTCTGGAGGAATTCTGAGGGTTGAAAAGTAGGCAGCACGCTCTCTAGGCAGATGCGGCAGACCCGTGGAGGATAATGCTGTGAGTCTTCCATTGAGTCTCACATCGAGATTTACTCGAACCTTGACAAGAGAAGGCCGAGGAAGAATTACTGTTTCTTTTCTGAGGTGTCGGAAAAAAGAAGAGAAGGACAAGAAGAAGAAAAGCAGAAAAGCCGAAGGTGTCCCAACCCCCACGGCTAATCCCGATCAGGTCACCGCCTTCCGTGAGCTCTACCGCGCCAAACGTCACCCATCTCTGCCTACAACACAGCTCCCCTTCTTTCGATCTTTTCATCCTCTCCTCTTCTCTTCCTATTGACAGCGAATCATGGCGGACAGATACTCATTCTCCTTGACTACATTCTCCCCCAGGTAAGGGTGACTTGTCCTATGGAATTGACAACGTGCTAATTCAGCTCCATTACAGCGGAAAGCTGGTGCAAATTGGTATGGAACCATCGTTTCTGAGCTTAGGCATCGATAACTGATTAATATAGAATATGCCTTGAACGCGGTCAACCAGGGTGTGACTGCCCTTGGTATCAAAGGTACGCAAACACCCAACTTCTCCCACATAGGGCCAAGCTGACCGCCCCCGTGATAGCTACGAACGGCATTGTGCTCGCGACTGAGAAGAAGTCCTCATCGCCTCTGATCGATCCACCTTCGCTGTCCAAGATCTCCCTGATCACGCCGGATATCGGTATGGTCTACGCCGGCATGGGGCCCGACTACCGGGTGCTGGTCGACAAGGCCCGCAAGGTCTCACACACAGGCTACAAGCGCATCTACAACGAATATCCTCCTACTCGTATATTGGTCCAGGACGTTGCTCGGGTAGTGCAAGAAGCTACGCAATCCGGTGGTGTGCGGCCGTACGGTGTCAGTCTGTTGGTCGCAGGCTGGGACGAGGGCGTGGAGCCTGAGTCAGAGGAGGCTAAGAAGGACGACCCCGAGCAGAAGATCTCCAGCAAGACTGGTGGCATCAAGAAGGGTGGGCCCAGTCTGTACCAGGTCGACCCCAGCGGCAGCTACTACCCATGGAAGGCGACAGCCATCGGTAAACACGCAACAAGCGCCAAGACGTTCCTCGAGAAACGATACACTGAAGGACTGGAGCTGGAAGATGCCATCCATATCGCACTGTTGACACTCAAGGAGACGATTGAGGGTGAGATGAACGGTGACACAATAGAAATTGGTGAGTTTTGGGTTTCTGCCTCGTTTTCTCCCATTCTGGCTGTTTGGGTATTCAAGGATGTGATGAATATTGACTGACACTGTTCTAGGCATTGTCGGCCCCCCAGCGGATCACCTGCTGGGCTTCGAGGGAGTGGAGGGTGCTCAGGGACCACGGTTCCGCAAGTTGACCAAGGAGCAGATCGAGGACTACCTGACCAATCTATGAACGAGAACACATAATTCATGTAGACTCGAATGAAATATCCCATTTATGTCGGGTGATTGACGTTTTCCGATTACGAATCGCATGGTCACAGACGGCTATCTGCCTAAGTACCTAATGATCTACTTCATGTTACCATACTCTGTATCTTGATGGCGAAAGCCAAAGGCTTCTAAGCACCAGGAGATGCTCCGAGCCACCCCTGATTTCCAATTTATTTCCATTCCTTACAATCACTTATACTGCCTATCCTATAGGACTCCGACACTCCAAATATGCAGTTCCAAGCTTACTTCGATATCATTATCATTATATTTTACACCGTCATATTGCTAATGAAGTCGCCCTCCCAGGCTCCACAAACATCTTCCTCTGAATAACTTGACCTCCGACCGGCGGCGCCAAAAAGTCCTTCGGCTCAGTCTGCTCATAAGGCGAATCTTCACTGCGATCCGGCGTCTCAGGCGGCCTCTGCATCGAACAAAGAGGCAATGTATCGGCAATAGCGAGAGAAATAGGATGTCTGGAACCCTGGATGAGATCTACCAGACGACCTAGCACAGCAAACTCAAGTTTGAGTTTGAGCGAGTAAATGAATCCCTTCAGGGTGATTTGCACGGAGTATAAATTAGCGTATTCGAGACTCAAAAGCAGGAGATCCATCCCAATGATTGTGCAGTTGATCCCGATCAGCTGATACATGATGATCCGTGCATCCGGACGCGAAGACACATCCGCACCAAGGCGCAGCAGCTTAACCGTCTCAACCACATATAGCGTCGACAGCAGACTCTCTTGGATTGTGAACCCAGTCAGCTGAATCTTCTCCATGATGTTGTATCCATTCACCCAGGCGGTGTCGCCACTGTGGACTATGTTCGCGCCGTAAGTGAGGATCGTCGTGGGCACATGCAAGAGCAAGACATTTGCGACAATGAGCTGCAACACACGGCGCAGCATGCGCTCGTCGCGTAGCACAAGGTGGAGTCGTGAGTAGAGCACCACCGATTGGCCGGTCACCATGATCCACCAGCCGATAGTCAGGACAGTAACCGAAAGCACGGAATCAGTCTGAGTAAAGAACTTCATCAGGAAGCCAATTGAGTATGGTACGACGCCGAGCACTCCTGAGACAAGCAGGGACCAGAAATAGAGCCCGCGCCACCGACGGAAGGTGGCTGGGACGAGTATAACCAGCTCAGCGACGTTATAGCATGATAGTCCGATGAAAGTGACGAGGATCATCTGTAGTATTTCACCCTCTTTCGCGAGGGAGCCGGATATCCCATCCAGCAGGTCCTGGGGAACGTTGGACATTGTTGTAGAAGGGACTCATTCGGGGCTTTGGGAGAGGAGGTATATGAGCGACCGGACTCGAGGAGAGAGTCTGGTTCACCCTGTTTGGTATGTCCACATATTCTTATGGACAAACGGGGGAAATGGAGGAATTTTCAAAAAGAGAAAGAAGAAGAATCGCGAAAAGACGAAAATATGAAAGAGCGAACGGAGTGTGGGATGTGGACTGGTCGTACAGGTCAATACCACGTCATGCAGACTAATTTTTGGACTTGTTTCGAGTGAAAAAGAAACAAACGAAAGAGGCCTCGGGTATTCAAGGGTGTTCACAGGGCCATAAGGTGCTCGTAGTGCGTTTCATGGGTGTTCAACTCCGTCAAACCTTAGGAAGTCTGGGGTATGGGGGAAGGGGGAGGCGTCAATTCCAATCACATTATGGTCCGGCATCGGAGCCTCCGAGATTAATTCGCTAAATTCCACCTTAACGGTAAAAGGAATTGGGAGGGATTCGAGGGATTTGATTTAGGCTAGTTTCATCCTTGCATGTGAGAAAGACAATGGTCCATAATAACTACTCCGGAGTTACCCCAAAAATAGATACATGTCTACAGGTACGGAGTAGATGAAAGACATGTCCAACATATGAACAAAAAAAAAAGATGTAGTATTCTCTACTATCATCTTATAATTCTAATAAGCTAATAATCGTTCAAAATAATACATGATTTCACGATTGATTCGTGTTCAGAGTTGCCTCGGCTGTCCATGGGACATCTTCCTCGGAGTCTTCATCCTGACTGTCGGCTACTTCCTCCACTTTCCGTTTTTTGCTTGGTGCCTGCACAGGCTGGTCTGGTGACACCGGCTTAGATGGTAATGGGCTTGGAGACTTCAATTCTGGAGATGGTGGTGCAGAAGACAGCACAGAGGATATAGGTGAAGGAGTTGGAGTAGGAGGATCATAATACTCAAAGTCGGGAGGGGACTTGGCCAAGGGACTCAAAGGCTCGGAGGGTAGAGATTCCTTTCTCTCTATTTCATAAAGACCATCCTAGGCAAATTAGAGGCACAATCGCATGCAACAGACCAGAGACATCGACATACCGGTTCAATGCGAAACGCAACGAGCAGCTCCTCGGCTTGCTCGGGCAATGACTTACCCGCGCGCTTCTCAACCTCTGCGAATCGCTCATCTGGGAGGTCACGATACACCGCAATGCGTGTTTGCACGCTGGCCTCCCATGCGCTGCCGGACAAGAGCGGTTGCAGAACCGCGTGAGACTGAGGTTTGATCTTTGTATGGGATTGGTTGATAGTCAACACGGCGATATTCCTCGCGGCGAGTCTGGCCAGATGCGTGGCTAGCTCACTAGCAATATTCCATTTGCGATTGAGCAGCCATTGAAGGTGTGCTTTATCAGTGATTTTGCCCTCGGCAAGCTGATCCTTGAGCTCTTGGGCGCTAGGGAAGTAAGCGGGGAATAAATTCGACACAGAGTCGACAACAATAAGGTTTGTTTCCGACGGTGGGAACCCCTTTGGCGGACGTGCCAGCAGGGCTATAAGATGGGGTAGCGTATGGGCCCGGAAATAGATAAAGTCATCGAGGTTGACGGACATCTCCTCGAGCCGGGGACTGGGCAAGGGACATCCCGTATCTAACGGCGTGAGTAGGACAGCGCAGCTGACTCGGGGAACTGGCAGGAACATACCAATCCAGACTACTTTGCCGTCGCGTAGTGCATTACATGCGATATTCAACCTGTGAACGGATCAGAACGGACTCTAGCGGTGTGCATAGGGGGGTGCACTCACGCCAGTGAGGTCTTCCCGGCTCCTGGGGGTCCAAATATTTCTGTAACATGTCCACGCAGTATTCCACCTTGATTGGGCTGGTCTGGGAGGTCATTCAGAGCCTCGTCCAGACGCGCCAGGCCCGTCGCGATCGGGTCACGGGTGGCGGCCGACGCGTTGAGGGACTGCGATGCTGAGATCGAGACCACGGGCGCTGGGAAATAGTTTAATGTCTGTTTGTTTTGTTTTTTTTTTTTTTTTCTAAAGCATTTGGAGAAATTACTTACGCGTATCTTCGTCAAACCCTTCGAGACCGTCGAGACCGAGAAGGTCCATGTTGATGCTCATGGGCGCATCAGGATGGCTGGCAGTAAAGCCAATGTAAAGACAATTTAATAGAAAAATAAGAAAATAAATTCAAGCTCTAATGTTGTAATGCTGTATTCAATCTCATCCTAAAAATGACACATAAAATGCCATCATCAAGCACCTGGACAGGGCAGTGGGATGTTGACGGGTCGGATATCCGAGAGCGGGCTTTTTTTCCCTTCTCGATCTCGATCTCGATCTCGAGTCCTGCATACTTCACCAATGTCCAATATTGACAATTCCCGCGGGGGGAGGTATTCTCCCGAATTCGATCATCCTATTATTTCTGTCTGTGCTTTTTATTGTTCTAAAAACACTGAAGACATTGAAAACACCAATCAATCCCAAAGGATGTCGCCGCCTAGGACTGCCGCCAGGCCAAAGCAACCTGCACGATGAATTCGACTCAAAGTACAGCCAGGGTCAACCCAGCGATCAAGATGATCATGGCCGCCCGTCCTGGCGCGTAAAAGCACTGTTCAGCTACCCGCTCAAATCCTGCGGGGCGGTCGAGCTCCAAGTCTCGAACGTCGTACAGACCGGGCTTGAATTTGATAGACAATTCGTCTTTGCGGAATATAACAATGACGAATGGAACATTCGCACCCTGCGTAATGCAGGCTTCAACCGCCTAGCCTTAATTCATCCCGAGATCTGGGTTCCTGACCCGTCTGCCCCAGATTATGACGCAGACCTGCCGGAAGTCAAGTCGCAGGGTGTGCTGTTGATATCGTATCCACGAATGCCACCAGCAGGATGGAGGGGTCTATCCATCAAGGTGGGTATGGCACTCAAGTTCCTCAAAAGCCAACAGACGTTCCAAGTCCCCCTGTTTCCACCTGCAGACTCCAAGTTCCCACTGGTCCCAGTCAAGATCTGGAAAGACAAGCCTCTAGCCCATGACTACGGCAGACTGCTTCCAGCATCGTTACACGCCTATCTAGGGTCGGACCCATCAAAAAACACCCTGACCCTCTTCCGCGCCAGTGCACCCCATTCACGGCAGATCTTCCGTAACGCACCGCGCAAAGCAGACCTGGGCTTCCAGCCAAACACTGCCTTTGCAGATGCGTATCCAATCCACCTGCTCAGCATCTCCAGTCACCGGGACGTAGCAGCACGCTGTGCCTACGCAATCCCACAACTGAGCATCCGCCGCTTCCGTGCGAACATCATCGTCCAAGGCCCGTCTGCTTTTGAGGAAGATTACTGGAAGCGGCTTACTATTGGCGGCACGGAGATCCACGCTTCTTGTCGGACTGTTCGGTGCCGACTTCCTAATGTTGATCCTCTTTCTGGGGATAGACATAAGGCTGAGCCGGATCGAACGCTGAAATCATATCGGCGGATTGATGATGGCGATCGGACTAATGCGTGTTTGGGGATGCAGCTTGTTCCTGCAAAGGCGGAGTTTGTGTTGAGGGTTGGAGATTCCGTTAAGGTGCTTGAGACCGGGGAGCACCAATACATCAAGATGTTGGCTCCTGGGGAGAAGGTTGAGGGCGTGTAAACAATTTCCACAAAAGTAGTGTGTACGATTTTGTACTATATGTATGTCGTCAATGAGAAAATATTTTATCTGCTATGATCTTCAGGCAGAAGCCGGGGAAACTTCAGGCATTAAAGCTTCCTGGTTTGGGCAAGGATCCAGCCCTGGAGAGAGGTCTCCTGTCATGGATCTCTAGTGGGTAGACCAGCCGTTCCAAGGTTAGCTACTCTGCTTGACAGAGCAGATCGAGTTAAGTCACTTTGGCTCTATACTACATAGTCGTTTCTAGTTATCCACCTTAACAACCCTCACCCCCGTACAATATTCCAAGCTTTGTTGTCAATCCTTGGCAGTTGTCCCCACCACCTTATCCCTCATATCCATTTACTTTATTAATCCTCTCTCTATTCGCTACTTGCCAAAATGGCAGAGCCAACCTCTCGCACCGAAGCAAGACAAAAGGCCGCGGACATCAAAAAGAAACAATCCGAGAGCCTTGCTGGACTTCCCCCAAACACCCTCCACATCAGCCTCTATATCCGCTCGGACCCACCCCTCCCAAACGACTTCCACTGGGCCTTCTATCTCCATAAAGGCACCCGCTCCACACCCGGGGGGACCAAATACCATGCACGAGGCATCGGCGGCCGGTGGATTGCCGGACACGAGACCACAACGGGGATATTCACAGAGAATTTCCTATGCGTCATAATTCAGATCGCAATGATTCCTCCATCAGCGCATGAGCGTGTGGATGAGATCATGAGGAGCTACGATGAGTCTCTTAACTCGATTCCGGGGATTACATGTCGTCTATGGATACTCACGGTGCTGCGGAAACTTGTTGACGAAGGGTTTGTAAACTGTGATATTGGGGGGTTGGAGAAGGATTGCTTTGAGTTCGGGAATCAGCATAGCGCAACGGCTAGTGTTAATGAGCAGCCTCGTCCGGTCGTCAAGTCGCGGGTTTCTTCTTGACATGGCAATGGGCCTAAGTCGGGGTTACTGTGGTGCTTGTGTCTTGCGATTGGATATCGGATACACTCAAAGCACTCGGTATCATGGGTGATATTGTTAGGACAGCCCTGGGGGAACTCAATACACAATAACATAATCCGCCATAAGAGGAGTCTACCAATAAAAAATTAACCGAGTTGAAAGGCAAACATAGCTTTTACCTATTGTTATTGGGCGGGATCTACCGAGAGGTTGCTAGAGCTCATTTATAGAGTGCAGGAAAGAGATCGCAAGGGAATATCAACATAAATTGCTTATAGGTATTAAAAAAAACGCTAAAAAGGGCAAAGCTAGCCCCATGCAAACTCCATATATAACAGAAATATACAAGACCCCCAAGATCAAGCACTCTTAATAGCCGGTGATGACTGCTCAGGACCACTGATCTGTGCACGGCCATCATCAGAGTCGGTCGACTCGAAGACGGGAGGAACATCATCAGGCTCGTCGGGAATGAAGAGGTTAAGGAAGATACCGAGAAGCGCACAGATTGCGAATCCGTTCTCCATGACCAGATCGACAGCATTGATCAAGCCTTGTAGAGCATGGTTGTCACCCGAGTAGGTGAAGAAGTATGAGAACCATTCCGGCAGGAGTGTAACACCCATTCCAATGGAGAAACTAGCCGTGAGAATGAACCGGTTGCGACGAGTGGGATCGACAGACCCAATGATGCGCAGACCACTGACTGCCACGGAACTGAATAGGAAAGCAGTCATACCACCAAGGACGGAGCTGGGGATTGCAACCAGCGCAGCGGCGAACTTGGAGAAAATACCCATAAGAACCAGAAAGAAGCAACAGCAGTAGCCAGCGGTGCGGTTAGCGCATTTCGTCAGCGCAATCACACCGTTGTTCTGTGCGAAGACGGACATAGGGCTAATAGTCATCAAGCCGGCCAAGAGACAGGTGATGCCGTTACCCAAAACTCCGCCTTGGATTCGGGAATCGAAGGTACCACCCTCGACCTGGAGTCGGGAGACATCACAGGTCGCCGTGATATCACCAATAGACTCCATCATGATAACGATGTATAACGCGAGTAACGGCAGGATGAGTGGGGGGTACACTGACAGCGGGAAAGTGTGGACCCAAGCGAAAGAAGCCACTGGTGCAGCAGCGATACCGGAAGAATCAAAGTAGTTGCACGCGGCAGCGACGATCGAGCCAACCAACAAGCCAACAATGACGGAGCAACTCTTAAGAATGGGAGGACCCCATCGCTCGCAAATGATAATCGTCACGAAGACCAGGAATCCCAGGCCAATGAATTCGGGGCTTCCCCAGGGTAGAGGGTGCGGGGCGCTGGCGCTGGGGCACATTGCGCGGGCGGAAGGGTCAACACCGCAGGATGAGCCACCGGCCCAATCCTGCATAGCGGACTTGATGAGCGAAGCACCGATCAGAAGAACAGTTGGACCAGTGACGAGTGGGGGAAGACGCGGGCGAGAATCTTGCTGCTCATGAAGGACATGCCGATTTCGAGAAGGGAGCAGAGACATGAGGTGCCAAGGAGTGCGCCGTAACCTTTTGGACAAGGGAGCTGAGTTCCATCTTCGAGGGAGGGACAGTACCCCGATTTATACATTTGCGCGAAGGCGCCTTGAGCGACTGTGATTGTTGAGAAGGATGTTCCTGTTTGAACCAATTAGCATCAGAAGCTGGGTTTCTGAGGAATACATGTAGAGGGGGAAGCTCTTACCAACGACTGATAGTAGTCCCGTTCCGATATAGTATTTTGTTCCCTTGATATGGAACCGGAACATTTGAACTGCACTCAGCAAGCCCGAAACGATCAACGATGTCGAAACTAGATACTGGTAGAGCTCATCACCGAAGTGGGCACCGCCTGAGCCGCCGAGCAAGATGGGTGGTGAAATCACTGATTCTCTTTAGAATGTGCTTGTGTATTCTGTAGGTATCTCTGGTACTCACCACCAGCCAGCATTGCAAGCGCATGCTGCAACCCCAGAATCAATGCGAGAACGACTGGCACGCGATCATCAAGACCGAAGAACGGGGCAGATTTGCGAGCTCGCTTTGTGAACGGTAGTCGTGGGATAAAGAGGTATCCATAGTCGTAGTCACCTAGTAGACCCTCTCTGGTAATTGTAAGTCAAGGTCCCCTCCACAAGGCAACATTTGAACTCATACCGTGTAGTGAAAGTCTTAACAACATATCGGAATTTGTCGCTAATTGTGCGCTTTGGCGTATGATCGGGGCCAATCTGATCTGGACCGTCCATATTGAATGTCCAATATAATGAATTTAGATATTGAACTATGAGGGACAGAGGTCAGGTTTATATTTAAAGGTTTCCCCAAAAGGAAAAAAAAAAACACCCCGAACTTCGGTAACTCTAAAATTGCAGCCCACCCGTGGACTGGAGATTCGGGGAGGTGACTAACACCAAAACGAATCCACAGTGGACACTCTGGGCAGTCTGTTATCGGACAAATAGGCAATTAGGGAAATCCAAGAGCAAAAAGGGCAATTAGCAAGAGCATCGCATAACCTGTTGGCCGCTTGTCTATATGTGGTTAGTTCCCCCGCCTTATCTAGACCCGGGTGGGGTTTGGCCAATTATATAATTTGATTGATCTATTTAAGTGGAGAAAAGATAAGGATAAACGGGTGCTCTGTGTAGCCATGTTCCCGACTTCCCCCATATTATGTGTTTTGAGACTGTCAGAGTTGTGTATCCCACATGGATTTATAAGGATTTCTATGGACAGCGGAGCCAATGCAAGACACCTCATTGGTAAAGAATTATACCGGCAGTCTCCTATGTATCAACCTTGGAAATGCATGTATCCCGCCTCCACAACCCGGAAACGATCGAACGTTCTCTGCTATCTTGAAGGTTATCTGAGATCTGATAGTCGGAGGGTGCCGTGAACAGTATGGGAGGTGGAACACTCCGACCTCACATCAGGTTCACGCCCTTATCAAACTGCCATTAGGTCATTAGATACTGTGATATTCGATACTTGGTAGCAATCATACAGGATCAGACGTTGCGATTGTCTCGACGAACGATTTGTTCCCGTGTTCATACCTGCATGAAGATAATTGTTAGGCGCATATTACCTATGTAGGTACTAGGTAACGTCGATATACTTTAGAGCGTCGGAATTTCCGCAGCGTTCCAGAAACCTTAGAAAGTATATTCCTACTAGCATTCAGGCGTTCTTCATCCGCGACTCTATTTTCTTGTCTTTTAGCAATTTGAAGCTTGACAGATTTCTACGATATATCATCATGATATCTTCCTTGGCAGAGCATCATTTCTTATTTCGTGGCAACCAGCAGTCCAGAATGCGATAGCATAATCATGGCTCGAGGACCTTGACGATCCGGGCTTTCCACATGAACTACAGATGCGACCATACACAGAAACTGAGATCAATGGGCGACTGAGCGTGCCTCGTGTGTTGGATCGCCTTTCTCGAGGCCTGCTGGAGATGACCCGACAGCGCAGCGATGAAAGAGACGAGCATGATTACTTAGTTATGAAGTGTAGTTTCTCCCGTAGTACCCGCGACTACATTGTGAACGCCTGAGAAGTGCAAATGCGAGCTCGTCTGCCAGACTTTGTTGTCTACTCCGGGATATGTCGTTTACTACTTGCAGAATTCAAGTTTGCGCAATTCACACTGCACGATATCCGACCGGAAGTGTGGGGAGAAAGTGGAGCTTTAAGATCGACCCTCAATGGCCTTCTTACTGTAATGTGGGATGCTCATAATAACGACGGATACGACGTGCCATGGCGTTTTTCAAAGGATGCCAGTCATATCGTTCAGCATCACACCCAAAGGGTAGAATCAAGCACACAGGTCCTCCCCACAAATGAGTGCCCAGAGCCCAAAAGGTCACATTTGGGGGCGCAATTTGCAACGCGACGGTCGCGGACGGTACATACCAAAGGATTCAAACCGATCTCCCGATTTTTTATGTGAAGTTGTGTACCGTAGTTTACACCAGTTTCTCTCCGGAATTGATGGGCTACTTGAGGCAGCAGAACTCGACTTCAAGTCCAAACTTACTCCATGTTGCCACCCAAGCCTAAAGCTTCAAGTTTATACAGCAGCTTTTACGTGAGGGATAGACCTCCGAAGAGATGGTGCCCATAAAGCCGATACGTTCCTTCGGCAAAACTAACACCGAGAATGCCTTAACAATACCAACCCCGAAAGCTATAGTTTCTGTATGTCTGATCTTCCTGCATGGCCTGGCTGAGTGTTATGTATTGGCCGGTTCTACCGAGGACTCGAATTATCGATGTCTTGAGGAGTTCTTGAATCAGGATGTTGATCTAGATGTGCAGCTGTGAGGATTTTTGGCTCTTCGGAAACGAACAAAGCAGTGGGGAACGACCAGGTCCCGAGGCAAGATGGCAGCGAATCGGACGAAACAGTGGCATTTGATTTGTTGGAATTCTTAAAGTTGGCGAAACCATCCAACATGGAGGCTCTTCGCCCGAAACTTTCGATCAAGGGCATCAAAGAAGACAGACCAGAAGTGACATCCATTTCCGGGCCTCCAAGTCCCCGTCTGTCTAAGGTCCTTGGAGAAATAGTAGCCACGGCCAAGATCAGTCGGCGTCGTTCATTTGAACATTATCTCTGCCTCGAAAGTGTTTTCGCCTCCTCCGAGCAGTTGGACGTCCCCTTCGCCTATCACCTAAACCACAGCTGGATTTTTACATCGCTTGATAAATCAAAGATGCCGGAAATGGAGATTGTAATTATTTTTTTGTAGAAACTGTACATAGAGATAGAAGGCCGTCTGACTCAAAGAGTCGATAAGATTTTGGTCAAGTATTATTTCACACATTCCGGTGTACATCGTACTTTATATGGACGATAGCCATTACATATTCAGAGAACGGCCCCTCGGCCGAGCGGGGAGCGCTCGGGAAAACCGTTCAGAAATTTAACCTGTAAGGAAGGCTGATCTCCTTTTATCCCTAGAAATCCCGACCAAAATATAACCCTTGGAAGTCCTTGGAAGTAACATCCACTCCGTGGTCCGTGGAACCCGGCCCAGCCCTAGATAGCCCACAGGGTCTGCTGGGAAAGATGCTGACATAAACATATTTGCCATCGAGCGTTGATTGGTTGATTGGCCACCGACTGCCTAAGGCACCAAAGCGTTGGGGCTGGCTGGACCCAACATTCGCCGGAAAGCGATGAGGCACGCCACTCCCGATCAAAGGGAAGCGCAAAAGTCTACAAGCGTAAGCTTATAAGGCAATTCTTTTCTTCTTCTGTCTCTTTTTTCACCTCGGGATCTTGTGACGCTCAATCTTTGCTTTCATTTGATTCGTGTTTTAGCCTATCTTCCCCATATACGTTGGCGATCAGTGCCCCCGGCAGTGCCCCGGCTCCCCAACGTTGGTCCCAAGTGGGCCCAAGTATAAAAAACCCTTTGGTCCTCCTAGATTGAACTTCCAACCTTCAACACACCCATCATGTCGTCCAAGCCGGATGCTTCACGCCCTCGGGCGGCTGACACCAAGAAGGTGCACATTGCCGATACTCAGATGACTCGCCAGAACTGGTACAAGCACGTCAACTGGCTCAACGTCACTTTCATCATCGGTATTCCCCTCGCGGGCTGTATCCAGGCTTTCTGGGTACCTCTGCAGTTGAAGACCGCCATCTGGGCAGTCATTTACTACTTCTTCACTGGACTGGGAATCACAGCTGGTAAGTAATCCAGAATTGAGAACTGAACACCCAAGAACACGAGCTGACTCCATTTTCAGGATACCATCGCCTCTGGGCCCACTGTTCTTATTCCGCCACTTTGCCTCTGCGTATCTGGCTCGCTCTGGTCGGCGGCGGTGCTGTCGAGGGCTCCATCCGCTGGTGGGCTCGTGACCACCGTGCTCACCACCGTTACACCGACACCGACAAGGACCCTTACTCCGTTCGTAAGGGTTTGCTGTACTCCCACCTGGGATGGATGGTCATGAAGCAGAACCCCAAGCGAATTGGTCGCACTGACATCACCGATCTGAACGAAGACCCCGTTGTTGTCTGGCAGCACCGCAACTACATCAAGGTCGTGCTCACCATGGGCCTCATCGTCCCCATGCTGGTTTCTGGTCTCGGCTGGGGTGACTGGTACGGCGGATTTGTGTACGCCGGTATTCTGCGCATCTTCTTCGTGCAACAGGCTACCTTCTGCGTCAACTCGCTGGCCCACTGGCTCGGCGACCAGCCCTTCGACGACCGCAACTCTCCCCGTGATCACATCATCACCGCCCTGGTCACCCTCGGTGAGGGATACCACAACTTCCACCACGAGTTCCCCTCCGACTACCGCAACGCCATTGAGTGGCACCAGTACGACCCCACCAAGTGGACCATCTGGACCTGCAAGCAGCTCGGCCTCGCCTACGACTTGAAGCAGTTCCGCTCCAACGAGATCGAGAAGGGCCGCGTCCAGCAGCTGCAGAAGAAGATCGACCAGAAGCGCGCCAAGCTCGACTGGGGTACTCCCCTCGACCAGCTTCCCGTTATGGAGTGGGACGACTATGTCGAGCAGGCCAAGAACGGCCGTGGCCTGATCTCCATTGCCGGTGTTGTTCACGACGTGACCGACTTCATCAAGGACCACCCCGGTGGCAAGGCGATGATCAAGTCCGGCCTTGGCAAGGATGCGACGGCCATGTTCAACGGTGGTGTTTACTACCACTCCAACGGTGCTCACAACTTGCTTTCCACCATGCGTGTCGGAGTCATCCGCGGTGGTGGTGAGGTTGAGATCTGGAAGCGTGCTCAAAAGGAGAACTCCGAGTATGTGCGTGATGAGACAGGCCAGCGGATTATCCGGGCCGGTCAGCAGGTCACCAAGATTCCCGAGCCGATCCCCACTGCAGATGCAGCTTAAACTGAACTTGATGACATGTTTTTTTGCATTTGTGGGTTGCTCGGAGTTGGCGTTTTTTTCCCATCTGTTTCCTGTTTGATCAAAAGCGACCTGTGACGCACTTCATAGATAATCATGAATTAGAAACGAATTTTCATCCTTAAATGAATATATTTATTTGGACTTGGAATCTTCCTAGATTGTTAGATGGTAAACATTGAGGTTGGGAGCTGTTAAGTTCGGGGGAGAAGAAAATGCACCTGAGCCAAAGTGCGGGGCGCTTAGTCCCCCTTCACATGTCAATTTCTACGTACACGGAGTACTCCGTACTCCGGACACCTATCAACATATCTATTGTTAGATGTCCGATCTACTAGTCTACCGCTATGGTAGTTAGTCTGCATTGTCTTGAAACTTGGCTCAATTACCAAGCAATCCTTTTCTCCGGGGCTCTAGATGTACTTTGTAGATAATGCTTATGGCAAGATGTGGTTTCTATCAACTTTTTACTTAGTAGGGCCAGCTGTTAGATGGGACCTATATGTCAGTAATTTATGATAGACCAACTATCCCTGCAATTAAATGTTTTCACCATCTATAGAATCCCATAGAAGCACTCCATATATGTAAAGACGTTGCAGAAAACAAATGCCAAGAGAGTGTAGATATCGGTCCCCGCAATCATCAGCTCATCAGCTTCAGATCACCTGACAAGTTTCATATCTCCAAGTGTCCCCTCCCACTTTACACCGCATCCAATCCCGCCCATCATTGCTTTCACCGCTCGTTTCCATCTCTTTATTCTCCTCTTAGCCATCATCGTGGCGCCCTTTCTCCGTCTCCCCGCCCGCCTGTCATCTGTGCTGGGCCACTTACGTACCAACGTACCAACACGACTATTGACGACCTCCAGTATGGCCCCCGCTCACCTCCGAGCGCCACCCCAGGCCCCGCCTATCTTTACCGCAACCCCCAGTCACTGCTCGCTGATGCGGAACGCTTGATCAAAAGCTCGCGTGATATCCAGGACAAGGTGGTGGCGGAGATCAAACCCGAAGCCGCAACCTTTGCCAACGTCATCCGTCCCCTTGCCCAAGATGACAACCAGATGGGACTAGAGTCACACATCCTAGGCTTCTACCAAGCTGTGTCAACCGACTCGAAGCTGCGAGATGCCTCTTCCAAGGCTGAAGAGCTGATGGATGAGTTCTTTATTGAGGCGGTTATGCGTGAGGATGTCTTCAGTCTGGTCGACGCCGTACTGCGCCGCAACGAGTCTCTCGATCCGGAATCACGCCGTCTGTTGGAGAAGGAACACAAGGACTTCGTCCGCAATGGACTTGGCTTGCCCGCTGGCCCTCAGCGACTTCGCTTCAAGGAGATCAAAAAGCGACTGAGCCAGCTAAGCATCGAATTCCAGAAGAACTTGAACGAGGAGAATGGTGGCATTTGGTTTACCCCGGAGCAGCTAGATGGAGTGCCTAAGGACGTTCTAGACGGCCTCAAGAAGGGCGAGGGCGAGAACGCCGGCAAGCTCTGGCTGTCGTTCAAGTACCCTGACCTCTTCCCCACCATGAAATACGCCAACGACCCCGATACCCGCCGGCAAGTCATGATTGCCAACGAGAACAAGTGCAACCAGAACGTGCCACTTTTCCGGGAATCCATTGTGCTCCGTGATGAGGCCGCCCGTCTGATCGGTTACCCCAACCACGCTGCGTTCCGCATCGAGGATAAGATGGCCAAGACCCCAGAAACCGTTAACAAGTTCTTGGGTGACCTTCGGGACAGACTGACCGCTGGCGGTAAGAAGGAGACACAGAAGTTGCTGGATCTGAAGAACGCCACGGACCCCAAGGCCGATGGCCGCTACTACCTGTGGGACCACCGGTTCTATGACCGTCTGATGCTCGAAAAGGACTACTCGCTGGATCAACAACTTATTGCTGAATGGTTCCCCTTGCAGACAACCATTGATGGTATGCTGAAGATTTTCGAAGAGCTGTTCGGTCTGGAGTTTGTTGAGATCGTTGGTGAGGATCGGGCAGCCATTGCCCCGACTGGCCAGGGTAATGACATCGTCTGGCACGAGGATGTCCAAGTGTTCAGTGTGTGGAACGATGAGGGCGAAGGTAGTGGGTTCGTTGGATACCTGTACTTGGACCTGTTCCCTCGCGAGGGCAAGTATGGCCATGCAGCCAACTTCAACCTGCAGCCAGGTTTCGTTGATAAGGATGGTAACCGCCGATTCCCTGCCACCGCATTGGTTTGCAACTTCACCAAGCCCCAACCTAAGAAGCCCAGTCTGCTCAAGCACGACGAGGTCGTGACTCTCTTCCACGAACTAGGTCACGGTATCCACGACCTTGTATCCCGAACCATCTACTCCCGCTTCCACGGGACCAGCACAGTGCGGGACTTTGTTGAGGCACCCAGCCAGATGTTGGAGAACTGGTGCTGGGAACCGTCACAGCTGCGCTCTCTCAGCCGACACTACTCAACCCTCTCCCCAGAGTACCTTGCTAGCTGGCAGGAGGCTCAGGAAAGCAAGACCGCCAGCCAGCCGTCAGAGCGCATCCCCGACGATGTGATTGAGAACCTGATCCGCACCAAGCACGTCAACGACTCCCTGTTCAACCTGCGCCAACTGCACTTCGGCATCTTCGACATGACTGTGCACGAGCCCAAGACCCACGCCGACATTGAGGCTCTTCCTCTCTCTGCGACATACAACCGTCTCCGCCAAGAGATTACCCAGATGGATGGACCGGAAGTTCAGGGCGCTGGCAGCGAGTGGGGCCACGGCGAGGCAACCTTCGGACATTTGATCGGAGGTTACGACGCTGGATACTACGGATACCTGAGGTAAGTTTATAACATGATTTTGTCTTGTAGGTCTATATTGTTCAAATACTCATGATTTTACTCTACAGCTCCCAAGTCTACTCCACCGACATGTTCTACACCGTCTTCAAGAGCGATCCCATGAACAAGGCCGCTGGCCGTCGCTACCGCTACCAGGTTCTGGAGAAGGGTGGTAGCCAAGATGAGATGAAGACTCTGACCGAATTCTTGGGTCGTGAGCCTCAGACCGATGCATTCTATAAGGACCTGGGACTGGCATAAAGTGGTGCGCAGCATTTAGAGCTATCGGAGCTTATGAACGGCTCTATACTATATCTTTATTAAATTATATCAGAGTTATACGAATGCATATTTTGTTCCAAAATGCTGATCAGCATGGTAATAACACTAGCTTGAGCTACCTGGGTAGCTATATATATATATATATATATTGTAGCAAACAGCTTGAAATAGATGCCTGATATACTGATAAGCACACCGCCTTGCCATTCTGCAGTTCTTCGCGACTCAACAGCTCTCTTTTTCCTCATTTTAGAACTTTGGCATACAAGACAGTACAGAGTCTCGGATTAAATACCTCCATCCAATCACCGGTAAGTGCTTACTGATTAACCTCCAGCGGAAAGATAATCTCGACCTAAACCCGCGCAAGAAACTGACTAAGACCCTACCTAGCTTTTAACTCGGATCACCGACATAATAATCGATATCTGGGTGTGCGCACCAGCTCTAGCCTCTCTATTCCTATCAGCTCAAAAGTGCGAACTCAAGAATCAACCACGGCACCACAGCGCCAACCTCCCAAAATGACAGACCAACGCCTCCCAATTCAAACCCAACACTGCCGCTTCTGCAACCACCTCCTGCTAGCAACAACACGCAACATAAGCACACTCCCACGACGCGGCGGCGAAGGCAAAGACAAAGCGTTGATTCTACCACTCGAACGCAAGGACTCAACAGACGGGGAAGTGGAAGCCGATCTCGAAGAAGAAGCCAAGGCAACAGAAACACCATCGCGCAAAGCTAGACATGCCTCTAACCACACGACGCTCCTCCTGGCCACTACGATCCCGGATCGGCGGGCGACGGTAATCCGACGCGAAGACGGAATTGAGAAGAGGATTCTGTTGAGGTGTGGGCGGTGCAAGGTTGTTGTGGGGTATTATTTGGATCGGGTGCATTGGGCATCTACTGGTGATCGCGGAGCGGGGGCACAAGATGGAGAAGAAGAGGAGCGGCCACCGGCTGTTTATCTTCTTCCTGGGGCTGTTGTGGAGACGGAGAAATTGGGGGGTGAGGGGGTTGGGGAGAGGGAGTGGAGGGAGTGGGCTATTTAAATGTACAATCTACGTACAGATGTGGATATATATCTACATTCTACGAAAGGTGATACCCCGAAGCAGAATAATACAGTGTATTTGATAATAAAAACATACAAGACGAAGGTTCCAACGCGCCGAATTTCAATCCCTCAGGACAAAGCCATTTCCATATCGAACGTTAATCATATCGGGGTATCAGTTGGCGAGGATAGTACGGACAAGATCTGGGGAAGAGAGTTAGTAGATGCAATTAACCATACATAATCCATTCTGGGCTCAGACATACCCGTGTAGTTAATCTCTCCGGAGCTAGTGTCGACAGCCTTGAGCAGCTCATCGACTTCATCGTCAGACATCTTCTCGCCCAGATTCGTGAGAACTGCAAGTATCGAATGTTAGCAACCGCCCTTCCAAGCGCATGCAAGTTGTGCGGGGCAAAACATACTGTAACGCAGCTGTCCGACACCAATAAATCCGGTCATATCCTTATCAAAGACCTGGAATCCACGACAGTACTCCTCCGGCTCACCGGGCTCACGGAAACCACCGGGGCGGTTGAGGACTTTCAGGAAGGAGTCGAAGTCAACTAGAGAGAGAGAGAGAGGGTTAGCCAGGGATTTCCCTGTGATGGAAGGTGAGACGCGATCGCATCCACCAACCAATAACTGAATCGCAGAATCAAAACATACAGTCACCACCGACAGACTTCTCCAAGTCACTAATCTCAGCCAGGGTAGGGTTCTGACCGCAAGCGCGGAGCAAGTCACCGAGGAGGTCACCAGCGACACGGCCGGTACCACGGCGATCGAAGAGCGAGAACGCTTCCTTGTAGTTTGTAGAGGCCTGGTCGTGGTTATTAGCCATGATGAAAATGTAGAGACAATGCCTTTGATGACACGGTTGTAGATGAGGGGGAGATCCGAGGGGAGGCGATTCCGTGGTTACATAGGCGGAAACCTTGGAAGGGGCGGACCGCTTGAATA